AACGTCGATCCAGAAGTCCAGGATGCTACGAATCCTCGTGAGTTTGTCTTCCCAACTCGTCGCTAGCTCAGCAAACACGCGATAGTACGGAGACTGCTTCATACTGCTTAAGCTGTTGAGATGTTCGTCTAGCTTGGCAAACATCTCGTCCCAACCGCGAATGACACGGCAGCGGTTTTGGTAGTTGACCAGGTCCAGCTGATAGTTAGTCCAGTAGTCGGAAACTTGGCGGAGAAACTCGTCCAGTGCCATCTCGCCTTGAGCAGTACGAATAATCGACTTGAGCTCATTGTCGTTGGTGGAGATCTTAGATTCCCAGAAACTGCGTAGGGTCAACTCTGTCAAAGGAGACGAGATGTTCAGCAGTCGCAGGATCTGCTTCCAGTGGCGGTCACGAACGGCATCTGACTTCAGCTCCGATAACAGAGAATTCATGGCCTTACGCGCCTGAATCACCGACGTGTAATGTTCAAAGGCTTCGTACTGCTGCACTCGGGCAGGGAAGCGGCGCATCTCATCGACAATTTCATCGAGTTGCTTGCGGACTTTGCGAGGGTGAACTGCAGACCACAGCGTATCTTGCAGCTCATCAACTTGAGCCCAGACCTTCGAAATGCTCTTCCAGACCTCATCCAGACCGGCTAACTCCTCCATAGCTCTCGATAGATCACCGTACGAAGTGCGGTCATCGTCGATTGAAGAGCCACCCATTCCCGACACATACGAGATGTTCAAGGCATTCAACGCTGCATTCGTCTTATCTTGTTCAGCACGCAGCATCTTGAAGCGCGTATCGAACACAATAAGCGTTTCTGTGGCTGCCTTTGGCGATTGTCCACCTTGCAGTGGTTTGGAGCTGTCCCATTCAGCCACGGCCTTGTTGATCTTGCTGTCCAGTGTGCTCTTCTCTTCCATGATCTTAGCCTGCAGCTGAGGCAACTGACTTTCCATCGCAGCAGTCTTTCGCTCAAGCAGCTGAATGAAAGCTTCCCACTCTCCTTCCACATTCGCCAGCGACGGCCAATCTGCCGAGAATCTGTATCGCTGCTTCTTCAGCAAGCGCTCGCCCTGTTCAAACGACTCGACTGCTTCTTCCCATTGAACGCGCATCTGACGCATCTCTTGGATTAGCGTGATGGCAGCAACGACTTGCGCAGTGGCAGCTTCAAGTGCGTGTTGCTCCAGAAGTGTACGCTTGGACGAAATGGTTGAATAGAACGAGTTGATTTGGTCGCGAAGAAGGTCACCGAAGTAGGCGAGGAACTCATTGTGCCATGCGTCATACTTCACATTCACTTGCGCTTGCACTTGCTGGTAGTTAATGACCATTGGGCCGAATCGCTTTGTGTTGAAGACGGCATCAAACGCATTGCGCTCATTTTTGATCTCCACTAAAATCTGCTGCCACTTCCGAAGATCTTCTCCAACACTGTTCAAAGCAGTCTGGGCGTCCATATCCCACAGCGCTTGGTATTGAAGCCACGTTGACGCACACTTATCCACATCACTCACAGTGACATCCAGCACACTGTACGCTTTGATCAGCAAGTCGAGGGGAACTTTGTTCAGTGCTTCCTTGAACACAGCCTCGCGTCGTCTAGAGCTGGCGCTCTTTCGGGGCGGCGACGATAACGCCAACACAGTCGACTTTCCATACACATTTTCATACGATGACGTCTGAATCTTGGGCAGATCACACACAGAGTTCAGTAAATTCTGAAGCTGAGCAAGCCAATCCCGACGCGCGTCGCCAACCGAAGGCTCCAAATACAAAACTTGGTTCTTGAGTAGGATCTGGTGGGTCGTAACAGTAAGTCCGGCCTCAGCAAGAGCAGCTTCGAACGCCTTGTCGTCGGGCTGAGGACCAAAGCATGCAACCCAGCGCTGCAAAATCACCTCGAGCTTCTTGCCCAGCATCTCACTAATCACAGTGTTCAGGTTCTTCACAAACACGTGCAGGTTCGCATATCCAGCCAAGCTCAACTCGTCGACATGCGTTTGAACTTTCGCCAACACAGCTTGCGCATCTCCAGCCTGGAAGTCGGAACTGGTACGGACACTTTCCAAAAGAGAATCGATCTCACTAGTCTTCTGCAGCAGCTCATCCACCTTGTCATGTAGACGCTCCACCTTCGTAGCAAGGTCCGTAACGTACTCACCCAATCCATCGGCATGCCATCGCATTTCATTGCCCTTCGTAAACGTCTTGCCAATGGTAGCGCGAACTTCACGCACATATGCAGCCGTTAACGTTTCGAAAATGGGCTGGATGCGTCGACACGAGCTTGTGTACGTCTTGAGACTAGCGTCCAAAGACATTGCAAACGGGTACTTTGACTTGGCATCTTCAGCAATCATCTTGAGCGTGAAAGGCACACGGTAGCCCAGCCACTCGAGGTTTCGCACTTCCTTGAACAACGTCACAATCTGCTGGTTGAATGCTACCACCAACTTTTTCTTCTCGCCCTGCGGCGTATCTTCCGTCACGATATTTAGAATGATATTTTTGATGTCGAAGATCGGCATGGACGCCAAATCGTTCACCCACTGGTCGAAGATAAGCTGCGGGTTCAGTTTAGCAATAAACGCCTCAGCCGCTGCCTTTAGCGCCTTACCCTCCACGTGCTGCTCCCAACCAACGCCAAGTACACTCTCAACACGAGACAGCAGCATTTTCAGCTTGCGTTCGATTTGCTTCGCCCACATCACCGCACCAGCAATAGGTGGAATATCGCGCAGTTTGCTTGTGCGCGAGGCCTCAGAGTAGGCATAGTGGGCACGGAACTTGGCCTGGAGGTTGCTCACATCCTCCTTGACATTCTCAATCAGCTGCATCTGAAATTGTTGCACAGCACTGCGAATACGAGGGCGGAAAAACAGCGCATTGTACTTGGAGAATACACGGAACATCTCGTCGGCGTTCGAAGTAGCACTCAGCCGACTGGTAAGGCTGTTAATGATTCGTCCTTCAACGCGATCAATGCACAGATCATACGCCTTGCGGAGGTTCTTCCACGCAGTCACACCTTCCACGGAAACATCAAGAGGATCCAGCGAATTCAATTGGGCGTACGCCGAGTTGATTTCGGCCAGCGCATCGTTCGTGCCATCGCCACGAGCCTCGTCCAGTCCAATGGCGTTCGACCCACCCAGCACTCTCTGAATCACATCACTCAACTTCTTGTGTTGCTCTCGAAACTCGTACAGCTCCAGCAATCGCTCTTCGATCGCAACGTGCTCCATCTGCAGCTCCGAAAGCAGCGGCAGCTTTATCGTGTTGATCGACCCACCTCGTCGCTTGAAGAGCTCCTTGGTGAGGTCATAGAGCGCTGTGACCTGACGATGCCAGTTGGTGAAAAGCTCCTTGCACGACGAAACCAGCTGCTCGAACTGGTTGAACGGGATCTCAATGAGACTGTAGACACGCAGCAGACTGATCACCTGCTGCGTTAAATCACTTGACATGACTTCCACCAAATGCAGTAGACGCGACAGGTTGTACGAGTCGGCCACGCGGATCTTCTTCAAATGAGTAAACACCAGCGTTACGCCCTGATTCAGCTGGCTGATATCTGTGGCCGATAAAATGGAGTTCATGGGGAACTCCTTCATAAGTGTCATGACACTAGACACCTGTTGAAGCGCTGGACTTAAGCCGTGGTCAGTGCTGAAAGAAACTGTAGCCAGGTATCTCTTGGCTCGCTGCAACACAGCCAAAGTGATCTCAACCTCGGGCGACTTGAGTTTCTCTTGAACAGCCAGTAAAGCGCGGTTCAAATCGCACCAAAAGTTGATCTCCTGCATGGCAGTTCCAGGCAATGGCTCGTTCACGAGACGTGTGACTTTCTGGATCTCCTTGATCCACTTGCTTACGCCTCCCTGGATGGTATTGACGAAGGTCACGTCGTTCACCTTGTCTTCCAGTCCCAGCGCTTCCACATCAATCAACACGCCTTTAGTACGGACGAGATCAGCCGCCTGCTGAATCACAGGGTGGAAGACGAGGTTCACCTCTGGGATCTCGATATTCTGTTGATATTGGAGCAGGGCCAGCTCCAACTCCTTCATCCTGCGTCGAATGGCTGGCAGACCTCTCGTGCCTTCGCTTAGATTCGTTATCTCGCTCTGCGGCATGTGCACTTTCGAGTACTCGTTTACGAGCGGCGTGAATGATTGGTGTACGTAGTTGTACACGACAGAGAGCAGGTTGCCTCTGTCCTCAACCCCTTCCTCAGTGTTCTCGCCGCTGCTACTGGTAGCTGTGTCCGAGTCCGTTTTGTCCACTTCCTTACTACCAAGCCCGAGTGTCATAACCTGCAGCTGGTGGTTGAGCGTCTGGTCCTTGGCCAGTGGAGCGCTGAAGCGCTTAATGAAGCACACTACGTCGTGCCCGTTCTTCTTTCCTGGGGAATACTCGATGCCCACGTTCACGCGTACTCGGAATGTGGAGCCGTCCATGGGACTGTCCTCATCGGCGCGTGCGGGCAAGCAATGGACCTGCAGCACGCGCGTGGCTGAGTCCGACACAAACTGGTGCAGAGTGTTGGTCGATTCCGCACTGGCGAGGTCAGCTTTAAAGCTGTCAACACTTAGCGCCGAGCCCTCACCAAAGAGCGGCATGCACGTGGACAATAGGTAGCGCGGAAAATCGACCACAGGCAGCACGTCGGCGGCCGGCGCCGTCACGTCCGCGCTGCTCGCCATGAGCCTCTCTGCTTTCGCTTGGTCTGCTAAGCTGACTTACTCTTTGTATGGCGAAGGGCAACTTTTAGGCCCTCCGCGTTGCTGTTGTCTTGCTTTCGCTGCACTTCGACCCCAAGTCTTCCTTCCTGTCGATCTTTGTGTTGAGGGGGAGTGGCAATCTGCGATCAGAAACGGGGTTTATGTTGCGCTAAAATCAAGTTTTGTTGCGTCGAAGTTGCACAAAGGTTGCGCTTGCAAGGTCGGAAGGGAAAACCGATCACGTTGTAGCGTGAAGTCCACGCCACGCACCACGGTGGAGCTGACAGAAACTCAAATTTTAGTTATATACGCGTCGCATGAGTGCAACACAATCGCTGAAGGGAGAAGCCGAGAAGAAACTACATAAAGTGGTTTCTTTGTGTGCTCTACAGCGGCATCCGCTTCTTGTTCTGCTTGTTAATGAGGTTCTTGTGAATGTGCGGGATGACGCCGCCACCCGCGATCGTGGCCTTGATCAACGTGTCTAGCTCCTCGTCTCCGCGGATAGCAAGTTGTAAATGGCGCGGCGTAATGCGCTTCACCTTGAGATCTTTCGACGCATTGCCCGCGAGCTCCAGCACCTCGGCAGTCAAATACTCCATGATGGCGGCGGCATACACGGCAGCCGTGGCACCCACGCGTTGATTGTTGGCCACACGCTTCTTCAGGAAGCGATGAATGCGACCCACGGGAAACTGTTTAAGGTCGAGCAGTCAGATAGGGAGCAAAACACGGAGCTACGAGTCCCACGTACCTGGAGACCAGCACGCTGCGATCGTGACTGTGGTGCTCGCTTGGATGTAACGCCCTTGCCGCCTTTGCCTCCCTTGCCTCCTTTTCCACCGATACCTGACTGTAAAGCACGATAGACGCAGCAGTTAGCACGACTAGGCACCCATCGACTACAGACACCTCACCATCGATTGTGCCTGAAGATTCCGAAATGGCTCAAAACACCAGGCCCACAACAATGGAGCATACTGATTGGTTGAAATCGGCGAAGCTCGAAGAAAAAAAAACTCTTTTTGGAGGAAACCATCTTTTGATTTAAAAAATGTTTTCAGGACTTTGCTTTTTTGCTTCGACTCTGAAAACTAAAAAGCATGCAAGAAAGTACTTTTAAAACACTTTTTTAAAAAGCGCATCGATGATTGGCTGATTGATTTAACATTGCCTTGACCACCAGTACCAGTCGTCATACTCATGGTCGACGCCTCGGCTGCCTCCGTGCCTGCAACTACTTGCAACACTGCTAAAGATGCGTCTTCTCCTTCTCCTGTAATTGCGAGATTCTCATCCCTGCTGCAGAACACGGCAGAAGCGGATATCGAGTCCATCCAGGTTCCCAAGCCCGACGTAAACGATCCTGCGACCTACAAGCGCAGCCAGGACCCCAACTGGAAGAACACGGGGCTTGACGACATCTACGCCACATGGGACAAGCTAGTGCCCGTGGAAGATCTACCCAAATATGAAGAAATGGGTCTCTTTCTAGTCGAGCACGACCCGCAAACAGCTCGTGAGTTGGAAAAGGCGTTTGTGCTTTTACGACGCAAATTCAAGTGTCTTCCCAAGAAGTCCCAGATGAAATTTGCCTTGGGACTGTTGGTGCAAAAGGGTGCAGCACCAAAAGGTTTGGCACTGGAAAAATTGCTTGTCAAAAAGGCCCAAAAGAGTCAGTCGGGTGTCCTAGTCGTCACAGTGCTCACCAGTCCGTACCCGACAGTGAATGGCAAGAAGCAGAGGTTCAGCTGCCAGTGGAACTGCTACTACTGTCCTAATGAGCCAGACCAGCCGAGAAGCTACTTGCACGATGAGCCGAGTGTGCTACGAGCAAACCGCAACGACTTCGACCCCGTACTCCAGTTCTGTGACCGCTGTGTGACGCTAGCAATGAATGGGCATCCAGTTGACAAGATCGAGCTGCTAGTTCTCGGAGGAACGTGGGCAAGTTACCCTGTGGAATACCAGGAGACCTTCATCCGCGACTTATTCTACGCAGCCAACACGTTTTTTGAGAGAGAGAAGCGAGAACGTCACAGTTTGGACGACGAGAAACTCGAGAATGAAACTGCAGCCGTCAAGATCATCGGTATCACACTGGAGACACGTCCGGACTGCATCACGCCGGAGGAGCTGCGTCGATTCCGGCGATACGGGTGCACTCGTGTGCAGTTGGGTATCCAACACACGGACGATGCTATCTTGAAGAAGATTAATCGTGGACACACGCTGGCTGAGGCGGTCCAGGCGCTCAAGCTCCTGCGTGACTGCTGCTACAAGACGGACATTCATCTGATGCCGAACCTTCCTGGTAGTGACCCGGAGAAGGACCGTGCGATGTTTGACTACGTGCTGCATTCCCCGGACTTACAGGCCGATCAGTGGAAGATTTATCCGTGTGAGATCACCCCGTGGACTGTGATTAAGAAGTGGTACGACGAAGGTAGCTACGTGCCGTACAGCGACGACAAACTCATTGAGTTGCTGATGGATGTGAAGATGGAAGTGCACCCGTGGATCCGTCTTAACCGTGTGATCCGAGATATCCCAAGTCAGTACATTTTAGGAGGAATGGACGAGCCGAATCTGCGTCAAGTGATTTGCAACAAGATGATTAAGCGAGGAACGCCATGCAAGTGTATCCGGTGTCGTGAGGTGAAGACTGATGACGCTGCTATTGCCTCTGCCGAGTGTGTTGTTCGTGAGTACGAAGCCAATGAAGGTGACGAGTACTTCATCAGCTTTGAGACTCCGGATCGCTCCAAGATTTGTGGCTTCGCCCGGCTACGTCTTTCTCAAACTCCTGGTGGTGGTGTGTTTCCGGAGCTTGAAGGTGCTGCGTTGATCCGAGAGCTTCATGTTTACGGCCAGCTAGTGGCTGCAATTAGCAAGAAGACGAAAGCTAGTGCCTCGAAGGATGCTGAAGGCTCGCATGCTCAGCACACGGGCTTCGGTACGCAACTGATGATGAAGGCGGAGGAGATTGCTCGAGCGCACGGCTACAAGAAGATGGCTGTGATCGCTGGAGTTGGCGTCCGAAACTTCTACAGACGACTGGGCTTTGAAGTGGAGGGTGAGGGAGAACTCATGATCAAGCATCTGGATGAGCTGCCAGTAGCAAGCATCTGGTCCAACATAACCGCGTTCGTTAACGAGAACTTGAGTCGCGATTTCTCAACCACCCAGGTCCGTACGGCTATCGTGAGCGCTGTTGTCGTTAGTGCAGTGACTGCAGCTGTGATCAGGAGAAGATAAACTCTTTCCGACCTGAAGACACGCGGGAAAACAGCTTAGAGACGCTTGCAATAAAGAACCGACGATTGCTTTTACCTGACTCGCTGCAATAATTATACCAATACCCCTCTGGGTTAAGTGAAATTGACCATAGTCGACACCTTCTGCACGATCTGCACGACCATCTCGGGGTCACGTTTGGCCATTTCGATGAAGGACTTTGTCTTCGAGACCTTTTCGAGGTTGCGAAGCGTGAAGGTGAAGCACGCGTCTCGTAGCACCGGGTCGTCGTGCTGAATAGCAGCGAGCAGCATGTTGGCAGCGTTGTCAATGCTCAGCGATTCCAGTAGAATTTTCGAGCATTGTCGTTTGAGACCTTGGATGCCGAGCTGTGTCCAACAACAATAAAAAAGGTCAGTATTGTATGACAGTGCTGCTTAACACGTACCCGATCAGCAGCAGCAAACAACTCCGTCACGTTTTCTCTCGGAACATTCCCCTGATCGGTGTAAACATACTCGATCAAGACCAAGAATGTCGCACGACTCACGTTGGGGATCCTCACACGCAGGACTCTGTTCTGTGAATTCTAGTAAAGCAGGACACATAAGCGGCAACTACGGCAGATAAAGCACAAGAATCTGGGTTTTATACCTCACTCGAGAGGAAGGTCTTAAAGTAGGGGTTCCTTATGCAGATGCATTTGTGCGCGAAAATCTCGGAGCCTTCAACTGGAAACAAGTAAAAGGCAAAATTTGGTAAAATGTTACGGGAAGCCATTCGGAGGGCAAGACGTACCGACGAACACGACATCGCTCATCAGCTTGTTGTTGACCAACGAGCGTAAGTGCGCAGCCATTGTTTCTCCTCTACTGCTAGCTGTTTCTTTCTGATTATGACTCCTTTTTTCCTCTACTTCAGAGGCAGGAGCAGGTGCCGGTTCTTCGCTGGGAGAACCGCCACCTTCAATATGTTCGACGACACTACCATCGCCGATGTTCTCCCCCTCAAAATCGTTGTCGCTCGTGTCGTTCTCAGCATCATCGGATGCAGAAGAATAGCTGCTTGTAGCAGACCTATCACCTTCCGTGGAGTCATCATTTGCAGCTTTTTGGCGCTTGCTTGTAGCCCAGGTTCCTGTCTTGTTTGCGTTAGAGCGCTTCGTACCAGGCTTTTGGCTAGAAGAACTCGACTGTATCGGCACGTCTGCTGCTGCGGAGTGTTGGCTGTTCCCTGACAACCGTTCGAGTTTCCATTTGACTTGTTCAAGTGTTGCAGTGAAGCTCCAACCTTTCTCCTTGACTGCGTGGTTGAACAGTACTGTCTTCACTTGATGGGAATCTCCTCTTGTATTCCTGACAATGGTTTGCAGCAGCTCCGTTCGCTTTGGGTACCAGCCTGAGGAGAGAGACTTGACCGGTCCTGTAGGAACATTTTCGCACAGCTTGAGTAAGTGGCTTTGAACCTCTCGCAAGGTGAAGGCTGGCGTGGGCATTGGCAAGAAGTCGCTTCTCTTACGGAGCTCATCAGTGAACGCCTGCATCCGCTCTGGCCATGTACCATGGCGGCCGGCAACAGAGAGAAGGAGCTCGTCATGCTCGGCTGTGAATCGTGAAGATGCCATTTGTTGCACTTGAAGTTGAAAGTGAAAACCTTCGAAGTGACAATGCTGGCGGTAATGCGTCACTATGAAATACTGCGAAAGTTGCATTTCGCTTGGTTGGCAACAAAAGTATGATGAGGCAACTGCGTAGCAGCAACTTACAGAAAGCTGCCCTTTGTGAAAGCAATATATAAAATTGCCAACCGAGAAAAGTTAAGAGTTACACTGCGTTGAACAGTATTAAGTAAAGCTTAATCAATTGTCAGTGTGGGCGGGACATCGCTCCGGCAATCTTGCGGCATCCTCGGGTCAAGCATCGCTTTGCACCTCCATGATTCAAGCACTTGCCTCTTGTCACGACACGTTTCTCACATCCTGGATGCGAGCATTGAGGATTCCCGCCATGAGAACAACATTTTTCCGTTCTTGTTCTGAAGTCTGGTACAGCCCGCATGCGAGCATCGAGCTTGTCCTCCATGCGCAGTACATCTGCCATTACTGTACCGAAGCTTGGTGCAGCCCGGGTGCGAACATCTCTTACCTCCTCCATGTACCGCACACTTTCCCATTGTTATAACTTGATTGACGCATCCTTCAACGGAACCTTGATCAGACGCCAGGGGTATAAAGATTCCAGAAAAAACCAACCGGTCAACGGTAGCGTTGAATACGAACATATTTCTTCCTTCTTGTAGTTTGATCGTGCTGGTATCAATGCCTTCCAGCTTCACCATCCTCTAATGAGTTAGTTGTTTTATCCTTTTGAGAAACGACGTCGAGCTGCCTTTCAAGTTGACGGTAATAGTGCAACGCAAAGTTTGCGTCCACCATGTGCTTGACACATGCCTTTCAGCTGAGCTTGCTTCACGCATTCGGGAAACGTGCAGCGAGGCTTCGCTTGCAGTAGCCCAGGATACTTTCTGTGCGCCAATCTTTCCCTTCATTTCGCCATCCACCTCGCTTCCTGGCAACAACGAGATCTTTTGCTCTTCGTTGGCGTTATTTGTAAAAGTGAGCAAAAAATCGCTGTCCTTTATTTACACAAATTCATGAAACTAACATCAATTAATACGTAACATCACCCCGAGCTATACCCAAATGGATCGATCTTGCTGGTTGTTCCTCAATGCAACAGACTTGGCCATCGCCGTGGAGGTCGCCGCGCTGGCACTAGCTGAAGCAACAGCCGTTCTAGCAGCGATCGCTGCTGACGCGCGCTGACTCGAGACTAACGAGCAATCTAACGCAGTGAGCACTTCCTGCATGGACGGACGTTCGGCGGGCGAGTCATGGAAACAGTTCTGCATCAGCGTTTGAAGAGATTCCGGTAGCTCCTTAGGAACAGGAAGACGTTCGCCACGTAAAACATTCATCATCGCCTCTACAGGAGTCAGCGCCGCAAACGGTGGCGAACTCGTGTAGGTCTCCCACATCAGCACACCAAACATGTAGACATCTGAATCGTATGAGAACGCGTGGGGAGGCTGTAATGACTCTGGGGCCATGTACTTGACTGGACCCACAGCGTCTTTCAAAAGCATTCCAGTCTCGGCTCGCACGCGACGACAGAGCCCAAAGTCGCAGATACGTACACGATTGCCTTGATCCACGAGACAGTTGCGTGCAGCAAGATCACGGTGAATGAAGCCACCTTCGTGGATGTTAAGCAGTCCAGCCGCAGCGTCCTTTAGCATCCCAGTGCGTTCATCGATCGAGAGTGAAGAACTGCCACGTAGATTGTCTTCCAGACTGCCATACGGAAGATACTTGGTCACCAAAGCCAATGGGAACTTGGTGTCGGTAGAAGCACCCACAAATGGGACGATGCAGGGGTGATGTCCAAACATATTCAGCATCGCAGCCTCGTGCTGGAACTCGCGAACAATCTGCGACGTCGTCTCGCCGAACTCGCTAGCTCGAATAGTCTTCACCACGACATCCTGACCGTCCAGCGAGGCGCGATACGCGTCACCGAAATATCCTTGTCCTACCAGCTCCTTCATCTCTAGCGACCGGAACGGAATCTCGCGATACGTCTGTTCCATCACATCCATCCAGCCCTCCAGCACGTCAGCTTCTAACTCGCTAGGCTGCATCACACGCGAGCCAACAAGCACGAACGAGTTCAGCACGGCGACAGACGAACCCACAGTAATTCGCGCTTTAAACAATACACGTCCAAACGCAGCGCCATCTGTACACACCACGTCATAGTCGACGTTCGAGATCTCTCCTTCCCATGCGAAGCCTTGCGTGGCACCATTCAGTACCTCGAATCCGTTGGGCACTTCCAGCGTCACGTGCACCAGAGCGCCACGACGGACGTCTAGTTTGGATTCCAGCGAGAGTTTTCGCGCCTCAGGGTGGTCACTCTTCGCCAGCTCTTGCATCTCGGATCGCTGGTTCAAGAGGAACGCCCAAACTGTAAACTGGAACGGCTTCAGCGACGGACACACACTTGGTGGGGCGAAAGCACTGAAGTTCACACGATCTCGACGACCAGGGACGTCTTTGAACTCCGCTTTCGCATCCACACCGCCTTCCTCAGCCGCCATTGTTGATGCAGACCGGCGAGACTCAGGTACAGCAGCCATCTGGATCGAACGGTACACTTGCTGGAACTTGTCGGTTGGGAAGTCAGCATCGTGTATACTGTTGGTCGGAGACAGCAAGTCGTAGTCGTGATCGACGTCGAAAGACCCACGTCCTACCCCGCTGCTTCTGGGTGAATTCATGGGCGAAAAGCTGTCGTAACCTGGCTGCTCCGACGAGCCTCGGTAGATCGGACTTGAATCCAAAGCCGTGATGTACTGCGGAGGACTATCCGTATAGCTCAGCGGCGCATAAGCTCGCATATTTGTCATGTCGTCATCTTCGTAGGAACGGGCGATGTTTCCGTAGTGGCCTAGTATTTCCAAGTCGCTGATGTCGCGCGATGATCCAGCCTGAGATGCCTGCGCAATACTCACCGACCGTTTATCTTCTCGCGCATCATGCTCCACGGTGTCCAGTTGATCAGAAGTGTCACTAGTGGAGCGCACTTGATGGTCTGACAGCGTACTTGGTCGCCCCCGGACGCGAGAAGATAGCGCTCGCTTCCTTGGATCTCCATTAGTGCTTCGAAGCAGCGGCGTACTTTTTGGACGGACTGGCGGAGCTGCAGGAGCAGATATTATTGGTAATACTGGTGGAGCTGGAACTGAAGGTGTTGCTGGCGATGCATGTCGCGGAACAGTTGCTTTATCCTCCCCCGACGACTGTAATTGCATCTGGATAGTATCTGGTCTACTCTCCGGTGCGTAGAACGCTTCATCGGCTGCTTGGTCGATCTCTCTTGCAAATCTATCACGTTCTCTGGCGGCAATGGATCGCTCGTGGCGATCAGCATGTTCTTCACGTCGTTTATCAAGTTTTTCTTGTGCTGCTCGAAGTTTCTGTTCGTATTTCTGCACTTTCCTTTCATACCGTCGTTGCTTCCACTGGGCATGCTTGTGGCGAAATTTATCACTTGTCCAGTCTCCATCAGCCTCACCAGCCACCTCTCTGTCGACATTTTTGGAGGAGCCATCAGTGCGCTGATGTTGACCTTGTAACAGCCCACGCATAGCATCCTCCTTGTCCCTTCTACGATCGCCGTCACTTTCGTCTTCATCTGACTCGGAAGTGCCCATCGCTTCATCTCTGCGACTATGCTCTTGGCGACCAGTCGGTTCAGACCAGCTCTTTTGTGTCGAGTCACGACGATAATGGTCATATGCCCCTTGCAATTCTACCGAACGTGCATCGAAACTTCCTCGGCGTGTTTGTTGGGAAGGGAGAGGTGGAGCAGATGGACTTAAGTCCAGCGCCTCATACATACTTTTATGCGCTGGTTCCTTCTTGACGACGTCGTCATCAGTATCCGACACAGTTGCGGCCACAGGGACAGCGACAGCATACACATCATCGAAGCTGTTGCGCCGACGCACCCCTCGTCGACCTCTTCTCTGCCTTCTCTGGGCCTCATGAGGCCACCTCCAATCATGCCAATGCGACCAATGTTCCAGCCATCGCTCACGCCAGTCAGCGCCCCACGGTGACAATTCGCCATTCAATGGCGGGAAAGGTGGAGGTCCACGCATATCCAGCCTCATTTGGTCGAAGCGTAACCCTCCTCGTCCTCCTCGACCCCACGTGAATCCTCCTCTGCTATTTCCCCTTCCACCGCCTCCCCTGCGTCCACCACGACCATCAATCCTATGCTGATCATCACTCTCATCGATCCCTTTAGCGTCAGACTTGATAACAACCTTGCAGCAACACATTTGAAACTCCTGGTCGTGGTCATGATGCATATCTTCTTGAAACGCCCGTTCAGCATGAGGTAATGGTCTATCTGTAGCCATTACAGGCATCCCTGGAGGTACATACGCACCGTCGAAGCTTGCTGGCTGCTGTTTCATATCCCTTGACCCTCTTGGTCTCGATACATTCGACTCGCTACCACTTCGGCGTTCCTGGTACAAATTCCGCGTCACAGCTTCAGCCGACGGCTTCTCGTTCGACACTGACGCATTGCCACTTCCTTGACGCGAGCTTGAATGCTTTCCACCCATCGTTCCATAATTATTTGATGCTGCAGCTCCAATACGACGCTCTTTCTGTCCAATTTTAAAAGGTGCTCGATCAATGGTCTCTTCACTCGTCTCCTCTGGAGCATTACTTGCAAAAAGCACTCGCGCCACATTTCTAGACACGAATAGTAATCCTCTAGCAGAGGTGACCCCCAATTGATGCGCCAAGAAGGCGAAAGCCACTGCTGCGAACACCTGAGCAGCTGTAGTCCCCGTGGACACAATGTTCACATCGGAGAGCCCTGCATCTTTCGGTAACACTTGAGCAATACTCACGATCCATAGTGCCAGTGGCACGGCACAGAATACCAGATCTAGGATCCATTTGAACACCAAGAAGTACAATAGCGACAATAGCATCACTGGGAGCGTTACCTCCCCCAATACTGGTCCCTGGATGGTTTGCTCTGCGTTATGACTTGACCTGCGCCGCCTTAATATTGACCCTGCCTCGTCTTCGTCCGCTACAAGCGCGTCGATGGCCATTTCTGTCTTCCAGAGGACCCTCGTGAGCTTTCGAGCGAGCTGCGACGATCCAGCGAGAAGACAGCCAATTACGAGCAGGAGTAACAGTCCGGAAGTGGCTAGGATGACTCCCAATATACATGCAAAGGCCAATGTAGCCACGTGAAAGCTCAGTGTCTGCACAACAGAGGCCACGACGCCTCTCCGGACTGGCATGACCCGCGACCTCTTACAGGTCACAGCGACGCGGGAAAAGCAGCAATAAGCGCTCTAAGCGCGGGATGAAAGAGGTGAGGTAGATGGGGGGCTAAGGACGCGCCTACGAATGGTGAGAGGGGGCTGCTGCGGGGCCGAGGAGCTCCGCTTCCTTTTCGAATGATGTCCGAAGGGTTCTGTGGATAACCTGCAGAGAGGCATACAGTGATCAAGAGACTTATAGAATTAATACCTGCACAAAACGTTTCTTGATGCAGTCAGTAAAGGTACGCGTGGCTTACTTGTTCTAGGATGGAAACATGTGAGCCTTTATAAAGCGTTATCATACCAGATGTTATGTGCACTTGCTCGTTTCTCAAAGCGAATTCAAAAGAAATTCGTTTTTTAAGCGACGCTAGCTTACATACAGCCTTACACAGCCTCAGAAGCTGTTTCATCGCCAGACCTACTGTCGGCACTGGCTGGCGTTGAACCTATGCGACCCGTTTCCGTTGCGACTTGCCCCACACGTGGCGTCAAATAGTACGCGGCACCTGGAGGCAGACTGGTGATTGAAGGGATCGCGTTAGCCTTGCCTAGTGCTTCACTTGGCGTAGCTGCAGTTTGTTCAGCTGCTAACGCAATCGGTACTGCATGAGCTTGCGCCGCTTCCTCAGCGATGCGGTCTAACGATCACAAATGACACAAGTTAGCTAACTGGTCTAAAAGTACTGTTACAAGTCTATAGAGTGGCCGTACCCTGGTGCCACTTCGCTTGCAAGTGCGCGACCATCTCCGCCACATCCTGCAAGCGCTTGTGAATCACGCGCGACGGCGTGTTTCGCAGCTCCTCCAAAAGCGGCTGCATCTCCGAAGCTGCCATGTTCATCTTGTGATCGTTCGCCAGCGCCTCCTTCAGCATAAACCCAGACACAGCTGTGCCCAAAAACCCTGTTAGAGCAGCCACCTCACTCCAGTCAAACCCGTCAAGGCCGTACCTGCAGATGGCGTGTTGATCACAGCTGCCTTGGCACTCATCTTCGACTCCGAAGAACCTCTGGTCGTAAACCCTGCTGTGACAAACCAGCTCAGCTTCAGCACGTAACAGAGCTCCATTGCAAAATCCCTCGCTCACCATCCACAGCCGTCGGATCCAGCTCCGTCAGAATGCGCGCCGACGGCTCGTAAGCTGCATCAACGCAGTCATGAACGTCAGCTATCAGCAACTTAAAGTTCGAGCACCATTTCACTCACCAGTGTCGTCCCCCTGCACCTCTAGCTTCTGCTCAGATTCCGAGCCTAGCAGCAGTTCGTCAGGCACGGAGCTGTTGTTGGTATAGCAGTTGTAGATCTCGTCGCTGATCCGATGGTTGTGCTGCGAGATCTGGTTGCGCACTCGCACGAGCCAACGGACGCGATTGGGCTCTCCGTCCACTACTTCGAACACCACGTCGGCCGTGATGCGGGCTGAACAGCCTGTGTACCGGTTGTGCAGATGGGTACGCACCCCATTGCCGCGGGACGGCTGGATGCAGCCATGTGTGCACCAATAGGCCATCGTGGCGTACTTAAAGTCCTCGGGCACCGGGTATTTCTTGAATTTGTGCTTGTTATTCCAGTACGTGGTGGTGGACGAGCTGCGGCGGCGGTACATGGTTTTCGTACGCGTCATGTAGCCATTCCACGCCTGGATAAACGCGTCCCATGTGTCGAACGTTAGGGGCTCAAAAGCGGGCACATGGACTGTGACGGAGCCTCGAGACTTGGCCAGGTCCTCGCGCAACTGGAAGTTCTTAGTGCGGCGCTTCTTGACTAGCGGCTCCTCTACGTCGGGCTGCAGAGGGTGTGGGCTCGTCTCGGGCTCTTGTTGCTCTTGCGCAGGCGACGTTAAAGCTGAAGCTGCTACGTCCTTGTTTGTCATGGTGGCTTCAGTTGCCGGTGGACTGGAAGGGAGGTGACGACTTAACCCCCCGCAACTTTAGCGCTATATCGACTTCGACGGGAGACGATCGAGTTGAGCAGGTAATGCAAGCGACAGGCCTTCGGGATGCAATTCTTTCATTGCAACTCGGAAGTGTCACTAAACCACAGATGTGATCCTTACAAAAACGATTCTTTCAAAGTTATCGGCTCTGTCACTATGTAGGTGATGTAAGGCTTATGGTCATCTGGTGTGCCAAACATAAATCTGCCCGCAGACACTTTTTGTCAATTGTATTCAGTTCGACGCGCTTCTTGTGCAGACAGAGCAGCACCGCGAGTGACGTGCTGAGCAGCAGGCAGGCGAGAGAGTCAAGACACCAGACAGCCCCTCGTCCAGTGGCAGTGCATGCCCGAGCGCCAGTTCTCGGTGTCGTTTCGGCTGGAGAAACCCCCACGGGCGGCAAGATGGAGATGGAGGACGAGCTGGCCGCGGGCGTGGTGCTCTCGCCCACTCGCAACTTAAGCAAGGACGGCGAGATCGTGCGGCGCTGGATGGAGATGGTTCTGGGTGACAAGTCCCTGGGCGATCTCCCGGCGGCGCTGCACTCTGGCGAGCTGCTTTGCGACCTGATCAATAAATTGTACAAGGCGCTGGGTATGAAGAGTCAGATCAGCCCCGTACGTGCTCAGGGCGACGATATGGACGCATGGAGCAATGTGCGCGAATATCTTAGGTGCGTATTTTGGCAATGGAGCCATTAGCTGTCCTGTCGTGGCTGAAATTGAGGATTTCAACGGTGGTTCATTTGTTTTACTACAATGGTTAGAGCCTGTGAGGTGCTGGGAGTGGCGCGGCAAGATCTCTTCCAGCCGGAAGACCTGCTTTCACGCAAGGATATGGAAAAAGGTGAGTGGTATTTACTGGTTTTGAGTAAGATGCGGTGTTGACTTGGAGTGTAGTGTACAGCCATATCCTTGCGTTGCAGACGGTGGCAGTGTCGCTCTCAAATCGCCGTTCGATCGACGAGCGCAGCTCCATGATCAACGCACCGGTATGCTTCATAGTGTATACTTGCGAAGGGATTTCGTACCATTGAGACTCATTATAATCGTTTAATTGTAAAAAAATAGGACTGGTCCCCGGTGTCTGAGCACGGCGTATTCGCCGACGACGAAGATCTGGATGCGGAGGATTTGGATCTGGACTCTCCAGAAGCTGTTAATATGTTGCAGCAATCGCGTTGGCAGCGGCTACTATTTGAATATGAGCATCAGCAGCAGCGAAAGGAGGAGCGAGATCGTGCGGGTGATTCCTCTGCGTCTGAGGGACTGGGTCCACTCGCACATGGCATTTGGCGCACGGAAGAGCGTATTCGAGCGATCTTGATGCGCGAAGATCGAGACTTTGGAGCTGTGCCTGAGGAATTACACGGGAAATTGTGGATGCTGGCGTCGGGAGCTCAATTGGAAATGAGGAAAAGCGAGGGCCAGTACGAGCGATTATTAGCTTCAGAGTCAGAGAGCACGGAGGCGACACGGCAGATTGATGTGGATCTGCATCGGACTGTTGCGAACGAGGATAAAGAGCTGTGGACCGAGGAGAAATCGAGGATGATGCGGCGTGTATTAGTCGCGTATTCCATCTACAACCCGGGTTTGGGATACTGTCAGGGCTTAAATTATATTGTGGCTCGAAGTCTGCAATATCTGGGCGAAGAAGAAGCGTTCTACTTGCTCGTTGTGATCGTTCGGCTTGTCCCTGATGATTATTATACGACAATGGTGAGAGGATCAGCTTGCTAAAGTGCTGGCTTAATTGAGATCTAACGGTTAAGTTCTGTTGCAGCTGGGGCTGGCTGTGGATCAACACGTGTTTGCCGATCTCGTGCGGCTTCAGTACCCGGAGATCTCGGAGCATCTGTCGGAGCTTGGTGGCTCAGGGATGGAGCTTTCGCTTGCTTGTACAGAGTGGTTCTTGACCCTTTTCGCTAGTCCTTGCGAAAGAGGAGTCACTTTTCAGATCTGGGATGCCATTTTTCTTCAAGGCGACGAGGTAAATATTTGCTTCTGAGCGGAAAGATGTGCTCCGGCAACTAATTGGGAGGCTTGTGGCTGTGTAGGTTCTCTTTAGGGTAGCGTTGGCTCTGCTTCAACCGGCAAAGACTGCGCTTCTCGCGTGCAATAATTATGGAGACATGCTGAAGCATCTGAATGAGGTGCGTCTACAACGATCTGGATCTCATTAGCTCATTAGTAGCTGGCCACTGACGTCATTTGTGGTATCTTTTCAGCTCGGAAGAGGTGAACTAGACGCTCTAGAGTTGATGCAGGTCTCTAAAAACCAGGACTGTGTGATTCGTGGCCGGATCGAAGACTTTCGAGCTCATCATCGCCTGCAACTGGCATCGGGTATCGTCGCATCCACTGTTGAAGCTGAGGATGCACGAACCTCATCAACAGGACGGCGAAGTTCAGAGGTTAGATCAGAGCCAAGACTGAGGATATTTGGCCGCAAGAAGCCAGGCATTTTCCGACACATTGACAGGATCCCTCCTCGCTTAGCGCGGTATGCAAAGTCAACCGGGAAGCCTGAAGTGAAGGTAACCTTACACGTTTTATATGCTTTTGCAGAACATTCGACCGAAAGCTCACCGAGGATTACATGGAGACCATTCGACAAGATCATCCCAACTTCGCGCAATATTACGAAGGATTGCAGCCCCAGGTGCGTGCAATGCTAGGACGCTGCCCTGATCGATGAAAATTTTTCTGTCTTACACTTCTGCCTGATCGTTACAGATTATAGAAATGTATTGGGGATCAGCAGATAGTTATCGTCAGTGGGGAGCACGAAATGTTCGTCGAATTTCAACCGATGGGTTTGCTGTCAGTAGCTCCAAAGACAGTGAAGGCCACCACGTGAAAGAGGAAATTAACATTATGGGAGATCATCAGATGAGTCCGAACGTATCAGGTGAACGGAGACGTGAACTGACACGAGATCGTCGCAGCAAGAGCTTCATGCACCCGAAGAAGGTCCAACACAACAGCGCAAACAGCACCCCTAGTAGCCGAGCGGTCAAAGACAGCGACGAAGATGCCCAGTTGATTGGACGCTCCCCGTTGGCATGGATTCAGCGGTTTGAGGAATGGCATAAAGACTTAAAGACCCAAAAAGAGAAGAAGAAAGCGGAGAAGCGACTGCGCCGTAACCAGCGCTCTGAAAGCTTATTCCCTGGCTCCAGACACGGACAACCGGATCCTTGGATGCGTGGTGCCACTGACTCGTCTTCAGTGCCAATTTATCCCCAGCCGAAGCAATCGCAGGATATTGAAGGATTTTCATTAGGCCACAGAAGGAGATCTAACGAGTACCAGGGTCCATCCCCCGAGAACATCCCGATGCTGGAAGAACCTTCGCTTTCGCGCTCGTATTCGGACCCATTTCGATCCCCCGCGGGTATTGCGGCACATAGTCTGCGTAAACACGCAAGTGAAAAAACGTGTCGCGAGAGTGAACAGTGCCCCATGCTGCCACAGCATCCGCTCACAAAGCGCAACATCGATCAAGTTCCCCAAAAAGCAGATGTCGATGAAGTACGGAAACTCGGTGGAAGTAGCAATGGACGAGCATCTCGTGGGTTCAGTGACCAGAGCACGTTGTCGAGGAGCACCAATTCGTATGTCAACACAGCGTCTTTCACTCTGGACCCACAGGAAGAAATCCAAGATGAATCAAACTCGGACGCTTCACTCGACGAGAAGAACGCAAAGCTACATGTAGACGATGAAGGACTGAGCCCCACATTGGCACAACTGGAGAAGCCTCTGGCGCATGAAGTCATGTTCTCTCCGTTTCATTGCCGATCGACCTCTATGGACTTTGCAGCTGCACTACAGCACGAAGAGCCCGGATCGTGTGCGCCGCCTCAGATCCGCCGAATTCTGTCAGTTCCTGCTGATGAAATGAGCATTCTAAAGCGACCGCGGCACCCCAAACGCGACTGTTCTCAAGCGATGCGAGAGCGTGCAAATGTTCTGCAGTACATGCACCGGAAGGCAAGCGACGCGAGTAGTATCGCTGGCAGCATTCCACGCAGTCCTGCACGCATGAGCGAGAGCTCCAGTGATTCGTCTCGCTTCGGCGACCACACCAGCAATCGAAGTGGCAAGTCGATGCACTATCGGAAAAGCTCGTTCTCGTTTTTTGACAAGCTTTCAAGTGACCTGGAGAACAGTACTCATGGACTGGACAGTCTGGTGGACGAGTCTGAATTCAACACTGACGGGATCGGTCGAGGATCCATGTCTTCGGTTGCGACCGGTCGCTCGAGCACAGTTGACGAGCAACGACCTATGGGTGGAGCTATCTCCATCTCGTCGTGAACAAAATGAAATGACGAAAAAGACAAACGTGAGGAATTTGCAAGAGGAAAAAATGCCAACGCTAAGCGATTGGTTTGATGGAAGTGAAGTTAGGTGTCGTCTAATAGAGCTAAAAATTGATGACAGATTTTATCTTGGCTTTTGTAAGGTTAGATTTTTTGCATTTGAATAATTTGGCTCAAAGTGAAAAGTGAAAATGGGCAAAGCGTACGATGGCAAGAAGCGGTGGAATGAGACTATCCTGGCGACGACAGCGCGGGCCTCCGCTGCCGGCGGACGGCAGACCGCTACGAAAAAGCGTCTTTCGGGTACGGCTATGCTTTATTTTTTGTCGCTCCGGCGTTCGAAAGCGCCCTCGAAACCGCGCAATCAAGACGCGTGCACCTTAAATTTGTAATTAAGCATGATAATTGTATGGGGACTGCAGGCCGAACGCACAAACTGAGCGCGGCAATGAGGCGTGTGGATGATGATACGCGAAATGAGGTCCGCAATGCTCGGTTGGACGCACTGGAAGCTGATAACTTCGGTGAAGACGCGGATGATGGCGATGGGGCACAAGATGGAGACGAAGCGTACGTGGACGAGGAGGAAGGAGGGCCTGTTGCCGCGTTATCTGGCAGGGAAGCTGCCAGAAAAAAGAGAAGAACTGTTGTTCCAGGCAAAAAGAAGTGGAAAGTCAAGAGTTTGGCCCAATTGGTGTTCGAGGAACTGGGTAATGGAGAGAATGCAGAGGGACCGAACTACTTGACCGCGGCGGTGGGTCCTCCTACGCATCCAGCACGGAGATTTTGCTGCGTGTGTGGATTCTTCGCAAACTATAACTGTCGACGATGTGGATCAAGGTACTGTAGTGTAGGCTGTGGGGATCAGCATAAGGAGAGCGGATGCATGAAGTTTGGGCTTTGAAATGGCTGATTGAAAAAATTCTAGCAAGCTGTTACACTGACTGTACAAATAAGTAAGTATTGCGCTCGTAACACTGTGCTGACATTCGTGTGGACTTCACCCAACCAACGACCGGCATTCTGAAACAGAATCTGTTGCAATACCACAGTACAATTAGATCTTTTTACTGTTTGGGATTCGGTGTTACGGTAGCACTGCTGCATACTGCTGTGGAAACAGCTCATGCATTCACATTGAAGATGCAGATCACGGCCATTTAAAGCTCGAGACTACGAACAAAAACAATTTGCTTAGAGAGTAACATACTCGAGAGTCACGAGTCGTGACGTAAGAAGCCATCTCGACAGAGTTTGTATCACAGAGCTAGCAATGTTGTGAAGTAGTACTACATGTATAATAGCAGCGCTTCTCACCGTGACCGTCATGCTCACATACTGGTGTGCAGGGGTCTTGCCAGGACGGCGCTGAAAATGAGACAGGCTGTCCGCCATAGTAATCCCCCCCCCCTCCTCCATTACGAAGGCCTGGGGTACATCTGCATACAGACTCGCCAGGACAGCTAGGTATGAACCACAATAAAACCAGCAATGACTCCATAGCTGTTTGCTGCTGGCGAGTCTATATGCAAACGGACCCACAGGTTCTGTAGTATGGCTGCCACGGTAGTGACTCAGTGACTGAGGCACAGCCAGTAACTGTGGATTGCCCATTGTACAGTGTACTGTACTTTGATGAGCAAAGCGGCTGAATGATGCGTGAAAAATCCACTGATTCTAGTACGCCAAAATTGGACGCCGTACAGTTTCCCGGCCAGTCATCAGTGATACTATAATAGAACCTCTAATTGTGGAGAGCACCAAAAAATTGCCAGGAAGGATATCGCCGAGCTTTACTCATCGATTTACGTGCAGCGCCTTGCAAAATGACGATTTTGGGAGATTTACAAGGTGCTTTTGGGTACTTCAAGATTCAAGAGAAACTACTTAGTCGAAAACTGATTTCGAGCAATCGGTAAAAACGGGGTATCTTGAGTTAGTTGCTCATTCAGAGTGGCTCATCTATCATTTATATCGAATAAAAAGCAAGTTGCATGAATAGAGCTGCAAATGCGATCCTTGTGGTCAGTCTCACAGTGAGACTCTCACTTGGCAAAAGTACGCGGACGTGACAAGCTTCAGAGCAAGACTCAAGGACGACAAGTCATGTCGGGCATTTTCATCGACCCCAAAGATCTTCCGGACGACGGCTACGGCCTCGTTCAGGTGCTCTTCTTGGGTGCCGTCTATGGCTTCGTGCTCTTCAACGCGAGCAACCTCATCTCGGACGGCAGTGAACTGTTGCTCCTCGTTCCATCAATGGCCGGCATCGTCGGCAGCGTCGTTCTACCTGTACTGGGCGCCGTGCCCGACGGTGCTATCGTTCTCTTCTCCGGTATGGGTCCGAACGCGCAGGAGCAGGTCTCCGTGGGCGTCGGTGCACTCGCTGGCTCCACCATCATGCTACTCACTATTCCATGGGCGCTTAGCATCTACGCCGGCCGCGTCAACATCGACGAGAACGGCCGTGGCAGCTACGTGCGTCCTAAGGGCGACCAGCACTGGGCTAAGCTCATGCCGCCTGGAAACAAGGACCTGACCAAGACAGGCGTCGTGCTCTTCGACGAGATCCCGTCCACGGCTAAGACCATGATCCTCACGAGCTTAATCTACCTCATCCTACAAGTGCCTGCTCTGTTCTACACGGGCACGGCTGCAGAGGACGCCAAGGCTGACAATGCCCAGGTGGCCAAGGCCGAGAAGCCTTTTGCCATTGTGGCCTTTGTCGTCTCCATGGTCTCCTTTGTCCTCTACCTCTACTGGAACGTGAAACGCTCGTCGGAAGTCAAGGAAGACGTCATTGACGAGGTCCGTGTCGCTGCTATCCGTGAAGGAGAGATCAGCCTGTCCGGTATCCTGGCCAAGGAAGTGGCCCACCTTAAGATGGAGTCGCCTACCAGCACGACGCCACTCAACGCCACTCGTGAACAATTCGACCGCGTTGCGGACGTCATCCGCCCATTCTTCCACGCCTACGACAAGAATCGCGACCACCGTATGGATGCCGATGAGCTGCAGTTGTTCTTTAAGGACTTGGGTGAGAACGTCTCCCGTGAAGAGGCCGAGAAGTGGATGACTGCTGCCGATAAGGACAAGAGCGGATTCATCGAGTTCAACGAGCTAGTGGAGGCCACTCTACGCTACTTGTTAACCAAGTACGAAAACGAAGTGCAGGGTCGTTCGTCCGTCTCAATGAAACGTGTTGTGGTGGATCAGCAGTACTCGCTGGCTATCCCTCCTGCTGAGGGTGACGAAGAAGAAGAAGAGGAGGAAGTCCCTGAAGACCTTGCTCACCTGTCCATCGCCGAACAACAGAAGAAGATCAAGATCCGCTCAGCGTACATGATGTTCCTGGGCACAGCTCTTGTGCTGCTGTTCTCGGACCCGATGGTTGACGTGCTGTCTGAGGTTGGTGCTCGCACGGGGATCCCGGCGTTCTACGTGTCGTTCGTGGTGGCTCCGCTGGCTTCGAACGCCAGTGAGCTCATTGCTGCGTACAACTACGCGCAGAAGAAGACGTCCAAGACAATCTCCATCTCTGTGTCTGCTCTTCTTGGCGCTGCTTGCATGAACAACACCTTCTGCCTGGGTATCTTCGCGGCGCTCATGTCGTTCAAGAGTGGCGGTCTGGTTTGGGAGTTCTCCGCTGAGACCTTCGCCATCCTGTTTGTGGAACTCGTGATCGGCTACATTGCGATGAAGAAGACCCAGCGACTGCTTGACGGCCTCGTCGTGGCGCTACTGTACCCGACCTCGATCTTCATGGTGCTCTTGTTGGAGAACGTGCTCGGTCTGGACTAAAAGCTGTGTTTGGCCAGGTATTCGTTCAGCTGCGATGGATCTGAGGTGGACAGATGAGGTTTCGTTAATGGGGCGTACAGTAGCTGAATGTTTAAGTTGTGTTAGGTGGCCGTGGGCTTGGAGGAAATTTGCGCAGTAAAAGATCGCAATGGTTTCAAATTTAAGAATCTTCACATGTCAGTACTTTTTCGGTGGCTACATGGCTACACTTTATTTAGTTGCTAGCTTGGTACAGTGTACCGTTGGGAGAGGCACAAATTTGTGTAAATCTGATGTATTTTGTCGCAGATCCCTTGCTCGGTCCTGGATTGTCGGGTTGTGTCTGACTTTCCTTTTGTATCGGGCACACACGTTCGCAAAAGGCCTTACAAACAGAGAACTAGCCTTCCGAGCAAGACAAGTGACCATGACGGAGGCTTTTATGGGCTACAGTGAGGACTTTGAGCAGTGTCGCGATGACGCCATGACGGACATCCGTGCGATCCCCAAGGCGCGGGACCAACGCGAGCGTGATGACCTCTCGGAGCGTGCACAGGGAAACATCTCGGAAGCTGAGCGCTACATGCGCATTCTCGAGAGCGAGTCACGCGCTGGAGACTCGCAGGACCGCCGACGGATGCACCAGCAGCTGCGCACCTTCAAGTCGCAGTTGGACAAGCTCAAGGCGAATGTTGAGCGCTCAAAGCTCATGGACGGCAGCCAGCAGCGTCGCCAAGCCGCTGCCCCACAGGACAACGTGGCCCGCTACCAACAGCGCACGGACCGCATCGACGACCACCTGGACGATGCTCAGGCCATCATCGCACGAACCGAGGCCACGGCACAAAACATCAACCGCAACCTGGCGGACCAGCGCGAGCAGCTCATTAACGTCCGCACGAACGTACGTTTGTTTTGTAACGTGCTGATGGACAGGAAAGAGAAACTGATTATGTGGGTGCTGTAGGTTGACGAGACGCGTGAAGACACAGCAGAAGCGGGTATGCATCTTAAGAAACTCAAGTGCAAGATGGCATCGCAGATTCTGTTCCTCTACCTGGTCATTTTGGGCCTCATTGTTGTGATCATTTGGAGGGTCATTTCCAAGTTTACTTAAAAAAACACAAAAGAGATGGGTCTTAGGAGCTACGAATTACCTGCAGTTTTTGCGTGTAACTAAGAACAAGGTGAACTACTTTTTTTTAATGAGTGCCGAGTTCTTAAATTCTGCCGCAAATTAATATACTCGACGCAGAAATTCTGCGTTAAGTAAATTTAGGTGGAGTGTTGAAAACTGCCATTTTAGAGCGTCGGCAATATATTGCTCGGCTCGCTCTTTGGCTGCTTAATGCTATCTCCAACGGAGCGTGGCAGCGATACTCGACCTCCTGTTCCAGCTGCCAACTCTACGGGACGTCGGAAGATCGAGAGGGCTTTGAAAAAGCCAGCGACGAACACGACGTTGGTGCAATCAGGTCAAAGTGTGGCAAGAGGCAACGCTCCCTCGGAGTCGTTATCTCCCTTGGAGAGCAACAACCAGCATCCGCGGACTTCTACGAGGAAGCGTGCAAATTCTAATGACTCGCCACGAACACTGGATGGTTTCTTGCTTTTGGATTGGTGTAGAGGTTGGTTGCAAAACGCTGTTTCTCGTTAGATACTCGTCATTTCTGATATCGAATTGATAATTGCGTCTTGTTCCTCGTAGTGGAGTTTCCTGACGAAGTCGCTCAGGCATTTTTGAGTGACATGCACATTACTGATGTGGTGGCCGAGGATCTACTCTTTTTTACAAATTTGACACGGCTAGACATGAGCGATAACGAGGTTTGTGTGCACAGTGAACATTGGCTTTTGAAAGACCGAAGGATGTAGAATTGATCGCCTATTTTTTGTTTGAATACTTTGTTTAGGCACCTTTAGAGCCGTTTGGGTGTCTGCCAGCTCTCGTCGAATTGGATTTTCAGTGTAATGCGCTGGAAGAGGTCATACTCAGCAATGGGTTTCAAAGTCTCGAGGTACGAACAGCATGCACTTGGTTTTGCTATCCGCTGCATGACCCTGATCAATGGTTTGCTCATTACTTAGGTGCTGAATTTATCCTTCAACTGCTTAGGGCCAAAAGACCTCGAAGAACTTTCAAACCTGTTGCGTATCCGTGAATTGTATCTCGGTAGCAATCGAATTCGATCATTGCCACCGATCATGGATCGCTTTTCTCGGCTCGAAACATTATCTCTGGAGAGCAACAATATTTCTGGACAGGAAGTATTTTCGTTCCTCGCCATCATGCCTCGACTGCGGAATTTAAACCTCAGTTACAACAAGATTACTGGCTTTCCCGAGGTACGCTACCCAGCAATCCGACAAGCAAGTGCTTGACTTTTAAATTTATCGTCCATGATAGTCTGCCTTGACTTTAGAAGAAAAGCGCGGTGCTGGGTTCTACAATCTCATCTATCTCAACCTCGCACACAACATGATTACCGATGAGGAGGCTGTTGTCTACACTACCGAGTTACGCAGCTTGCGCAAGCTGATTCTGTACGGCAACCCTCTGGCACACGCTGCTGTCACTTCGTACGACCCAACCAAACTGGCGTACGATCCGGTACCAAGTCTTACAGCATTATTGAACGAAAGAACAGTTGATCAAACTGCGATGACTATTATGGTGGCGTACCCCGCAACAAAAAAGAAGAAGCTACACTCCATGTCTTGTTACGAACATGTCGAGATATACAAAATGATTCCGAACGAGGTGGTCCTCCAATCTCCCTTCCGCACACGAGCAACAGAGTTCATGCAGACAGCCAATCCAGATACAGTCACTGATAAGGAACTACTATCAAAGCGACAGGTGCGTTGCTCAAATTGCGTCGTATTGGCTCCAACTAATACTTTGGTATAATTCATTTCAAAGACCGACGCTTCCGCAATGCCTACATGTATGATGAGGCGTACGTATAGAGAATCTAGCTTTCAGTGTTTTTTTAGCTGATCAAACCGACATCTACTGCAGAATTGAAGTTTAATCCCAAGGACACTACCTTCTTGACTGGAGTGGGCATTGGAGATGTTCTTTCCGGTTCTGGATCGTCGAATGAGGTGAGGCTTTTGCTTACCATTTACTGTCTATACGTCGACTATTATCTGCTGACGAACACGACACACGACCAGCTTCCTGCTGTTCCAGCATGTATGATAACACGCTCACTAGCAGCAGATTCAAGTGTAAGAAACCGATCAAACCAACGCGTATGTGAACCTGTACGTATTGGCATTCTAACAAACTTTCTTTTTTTTGCAGGATCTTCCGACCATGAACACTCGAATGGCCGTCAACGCTCTCCGTTATCAGCTCGATCATCCGTTGACGTCCCACGATGACTCACAAATCTATCCTGCGCATTCCCAGCAGCCTACTCAAGCTTATATAGTAAGCAAAACTCTCTCAGCTACAACTTGAATGCTTCTCTAACTTCGTAATTGGCATGTAGCAACGACAACGTCCTCGACGCCCGCTCCCGTCACGAAAAGATTCGCCAAGTCGACGCCATTTTACCAATGGGAGTGGGATTTCAAAGCATAAAGGTACACTTTGGCTGCTATGAGCGCTACAATCTCCGTCTTTGACATGATGCAATGAAGGTTCTCAACGTGTAGACGACGCTCTAACCGAGTTGAGTCTTCAAGTTTCAAACACTTGGGACAGACGACCATGTACAATACATTACATACTATTGCTGCTGAGCTTTTTGGCACTAAGCCACTCTTATGTGGTGTGTAGATGGAGCCGAACAAGGAGTTGACATAGCGTTAGACTCACTTATCACCACGGCCAACAAGCTCAACTTGACGTATAATTCTCCACCGCAAGGATCTGGACACTTTAGAAGAGCGTAAAGGAAGTATGCAACGAGCACTCATCTCTATTATATAGCAAACCTCTGACCTAAAACGCCCTGTGTTTGACGAGTTCCCTCTTTATGTGGACTTGTAGTGAGTCAGTCGGTACAACAGCACACGTCCTCGGGCGTTACCGACTGCAAAGTAGCCGCTGTTCGGACTGAAGTCCATCGCCGACACGTAGTGCAGTGGCGTGTGCGCCGTTGGCCAGTTGGAGAACACCGTAAGAGACGGCATGTGCACCATCTTCAACGAGTCCTTGGCATCGTTAGAAGCCATTGCCAGGATCTCCGAGTTGGCATTGAACTTGAGGTGGTCGGCCTGAGTGGTAAGGTGCATCAGCGCCTTTCGCGGCTTGGGCTTGGCCGTCAGACCCGCGTTGTCGTAGATATTGACCACACCGCTCTTGGAGCCCGCAGCGTAGTATTTACTGCTGGCAGCCAGAGCGTGGTTGCCTAGACTACCTTCATCGTCGTGGACAAACACACACCGCCGCGTACGCATGTCCCACTTGTAAATCTGTCCGTCCGAGCCTGTGCTGATCAAGTAGCGGTCGTTCTCGCAGAAAACCGCAGACGTGACAGTACCGTTCATTTTCAGCGTACCAATGGACTCATACGACTTGGCTGACACCAGATCCAAGTAGCCATTGCTACCCAGGAACACGATCGTCTCTCCGTTCTCCGAGACAACGAACTTTTCACGCTTCCTTTCCTTCCGTCCATAGAGTCCAGGGATCTTCGTGATCTTGCCTGCTTCAATGTCGTACGAGAAGAAATATTGACGAGGTCCGGTCAAAACGGCGCGGTCTCCACCAAGCGTAAACTTGGCGTCTAAGATGGGGAGATCCTGCACGAAGACGTTCTCGATGTTGGCGTTGTTGCTGCCGTCCACCTGGAAAAGATGCAGCGTCTTGTCGAGACCTGCTGTCAACATGATCTGTCCGTTCGGATGGAACTGCACCGATTGGATAACAGCATTCGATGGCGTGTGCTGATTGGCATCCTTCATGCGAGCGACCTCTAATGATCCCTGAGGCAATAGCTCGCCAGAGTCCTCAATCAGCTTGCCAGTGCTGCGGATAAGCTCAGCTTCCTCATCGTCGCTGTCATCTGAGTCCACCTGACGGTCACCCAAGAAGTTCTTAGGATCCGCCCACGACACAGCACCGTGTGCTGACTGGTAGCTGTGATAAGCAAGAAAAATTGAAAAAGAATGAGCATTATGTGCCAATATCAGCGTAGCTGTGGCACGTACAAGGTCTTAAGGCGGCGGTTGAGTTCCTTGCCGTCTACTATCGTATCCTCCTCGGTTTTGCGGAGCTTACGCAGTTGTGGCTGCTCCTCTAAGTTCACCTCAACATCCTCATCGTCATCGTCCACCCATGCAGCCTTGAGCTTTAGTGACGCATTGTCCAGTCCACCCTTATTTTTGCCAAGATGCTTGCGCTTATTCTTCTTCTGCAGCGGCTTGGTCTGGAACACCTCCTCGGCCAGCAGCTTCTCCGCCTCGGACACCGGTGCACGCTTGCCCATGATTGCAACTGTCAACGCGTTATGTATGGCGGCGAGTGTCTGCACCAATGAAACACCATTTGTACCCGTTTTCTGGAACAGCTAACGCTACTTCAAAATGTTGCGATAAGGTGGTACGGGATAGGCGACATCCAGATTGAATACTTTGATCAAGTGAATCCAGACATACAATCTTCGAACGGCGAGTGGACCACTGTTTTTCTCAGTATTGAAAACGGAAGGAGAAGCGCAAGACACGTTGGTTGCTGTTCGTGTGGACGTCCCCAGAACAGGAACAGGCCCCGCAGCTACCCACAGACAAAGCAGATCGACCGCAGGCAGGTGTCTGTGCTCTCTTAACAAGCTAGAAGCAACCCTTTCCCCGAAAACATGCCGTGCTCCGCAGTAGTCCCCGTGGAGGCTTCGTGTCAGCCCGAGAAGCGTGTGGACTCGCCGCGCACGTTTTGCAACTCCCCGTCGTCCATCTCGGACGTCGATTTCAGCCGCAGCTCGACGGACAAGGCGATTCCAGTCATCGACAAGGTGCGCCCCTTCACACATGGGCTTTGAGATTGTCACTTCTAATTTTGGGTCTTTTGGGTTTTATCAGATTGACAACTCGAAAACAGAATCAGGTGATGAGCTTAAGGCTCAGGACGGTATGCGTACCCTGCCCTCGGCATCGGGTCCCCTTGATATTAATAAGGCTCTTGCGCATCCTGTGAGTAGCTCCCAGTCGCTCAAGCGCAAAGCTGAACAAGAGACTGAGAAGGAGCAACACCAAGTGACTAAGAAGATCAAGACGCAGGAGAAGCAGCTTACGCCCGCTGAAGTAGACAGTGACTATCTTCCTACTGACATTTCGGAGGATGAGGAGTGCCCGTATGAGCATCCCGAGTCCTCCGTATCTCGTGATGGCTATGCTGATAATGGCTGTGCTCCTGGATATGATTCCGCTGCTGATGTTGAATGTAGCAGCGAGTCGACGCGCCGCAGCCGCCGAACGCTCTACATCGAGTACTGGAGCCGGACCGACGAGTGCAAGGAGCGCAAGTGGGACCACCTTGACGAGATCGCCGAGAACTATGGGTCTGCTGAGGAACACATTTTTGCTACGACTCTGAAGGGTAGGACTGCGTTCCTGGAACCCAATATGTTTCCCTATGACACTCCTGCAGGGATCGAGCACTGGACGCTGTGGCACGTCAAGGATCTGAACCATGAGCAGGTGAAGAAGTACGTGGAGAACTGGATTGATGCCAACGCACCACATGTGGCGAGGTGGAACTATGATGACAACCCGGAGAGGTCCATCGATATCTTTCACGTGCACGTGTACTTCCAGGTGGCGGAGGGGCTTACAGTGCTACAAGATCGCAAGGTTGAGGACCTGGTACATGAACTGGACTGACTGGATCCGCTATCGTGTGTGCTACAGGGCTCAGGTCGCTCCTTCACCCCTCACTCTTTTACTCAAGTCCATCGTAAGTTATCTAGGTAATATTGGTGCTCTCTCGCTAGCCCGAAATCGTTATTTATGCCCAATGGTGGGAATAGCCCATGCTATCGAACCAAGGCGAGGCAAGAGGCGAGTGGAACTACCAGCATAACCAACCGGTAGCGTTGCAGTTTGCGTTGCATCCTCAAACAATAAACATCGCAATACACGTCTTTACTAATAATACGTCAAGCGTTTGTCGTGAGATGCTACAATCCAGAAGTAGGCATTTCGCTATTATCTCTGTCATGAGTAGCGACAGTAGCGCCGGTGCAGTTAGTACGCATGGTGCATCGTGGCGGTATTTCACGAACAAGCAGAGTAGCGTAGGTGATGACAGTGACCACGAGACAGAGGGCAATAACCAAGACGACATTGACGATGGCGAGTTTAACGAATTGGCGGCGGAGACGTCGAGCTTGGCATCCAGCGAATGCAGCAGCTTCGTACGCCACGAACAGGCCACAATCACTGCCATTCGGGTCCGACCGATGCGGATATCGGAGAAGAAAAGTGGCAATCGCGTCATTGTCGACATGACCAGGAATAACGATGTTTTGGTGACTAGAATTGTGAATCCGACAGCACTCCCGCCTGCCTCCCGTACTTCATCTACAGAGTCGGTAAACTTCCCAGCACAGTTCACACAAGAGTTCTGGTTTGACTATAGCTACTGGTCTTTCAATCGTTCGCCTGCGTACCAGAAAGCCACTCAGAGGACGCTTTACGATGCGCTTGGAGTGCTGGCGCTTCAAACGGTGTTGCAAGGACGCAACTGCTCCGTCTTCGCGTATGGACAACCAGGAGCGGGGAAGACGTACACCATGATGGGAAGTTCCTGCGCCAAAGAAAATGGCAACGAAAGTGCACTTGAACGACGGGGTTTAATCCCACGAATCTGCCAGGGTTTATTTGGTGAAGTCGACGAAAGAAAGCGCTCTGGAAACGTATGTACAGTGCTCATGAGCTACGTAGAAATCTATGACGAACGAGTCTATGACTTGCTCTCTCATGATACAGTCAAGGTGAGTCGTACTCTTCGATAGTTTTACTTCAATGATACCTGAACATATAATGCTGTTGGTATAGCAACCTCTTAAGATACGCGAGCATCCAGAAGATGGCGCTTTCGTGGAGCGAGCACAGCGTGTGGATGTTACAAGCTGCACGCAACTCTTGGAGCTGATGACTCGCACGAGCTCTGTGACTCCAGTGCAGAAAAGTGGCCACCCTACTCGTTCTCACACCGTGTTAACCATCTCTCTCATGCTAGGAGGTGAAGACCCACAGAAGAGCAAGCTGTGCTTGGTAGATTTAGCTGGTAGCGAGCGAGTTGACCACTCGGGTACCCGTGGATCACGTCTACGCGAAGCTTCCAGCGTCAACCGCTCCCTTGCGACGCTTGCAAACGTTGTTGGGGCTCTGGCCAAGTGCAAAAGCGATGGCTCTCAACCCCAGAAAACGTTTGTTCCCTACCGCAACTCGGCACTGACACGGCTACTGAAAGACTGCCTTGGTGGACGGGCGAAGACTATCATGATCGGGGTTATTAGTCCGTGTAGTGCACACTACGAAGAGTCGATCGCTACGCTCAAGTGTATTGAACGTGCGAGGAGTTTGCAAAGCACAGGTCGATTACAAGCGGACACTAGTGGAAATACACTTCTGAGGTTCTTACAGGACGCTGACGAGCTTAAATCCCATCTTTGTGCGTCGAACGAAGGCAATATCCCGCCTGCTGTGTCGTATGGAGAAGGTCCAGAGCACAATGACGATTGTCCGGGCTGTGAATCATGCGATGACGCAGACTCGACGCAAACTTCACTCGAAGCAAAAGCAGTGGAGATAGCAAACACTAAGCAATGCGACGATGCAGAGTTGGAATGTAAGCAGACACGCTTGCCGATAGAACTGAGTGTGCATCTGATGAGTCAAGTTGAAGGCAGTGTTTCGCCTCAAAGATCTATTGGACGGAAAGCAGGTTGTCCTCCACTGCACACGCGTGTATCGACAACTGAAGTGCGAACAGCGGATCGTGTACACGATGTTGTAGCGGCAGTTGTTGCAACCGATGCGATTTGCTGCTCGGTGGTGCAGGATTTCATGTCTTCACACCATCCAGAATCGCAGGAGGCAGCTCCAACATCGCTCTTGGAACAATTGGCGTCGAGCTCGGAGTACAATCGGTCCGAGTTTTGCTTCGATAATAGTGGAGACGGCTGTGATCTGGAGGAATTGGCGTCACCTGAAGGACAGGACGATGTTACAGAGAGCGACAGCTTGCTGTCCTCGATATCGTCGAAACCTTGCGATGAAGAGAGCAGTATCCAACCGAAGCTATCACTTTGCTTGGATTCGATCGACATGGCCCGAAGGGCGCTGGGTCCTGGCGTGTATAGTCTACAGAGCAACAAGATGATGACGAATGGAAGTGGGGTAGAATGTGAGCTACTTCGGTACCTGGACAAGCGATTTATCGCCATGGAATGGAGTTTTGAAAACCTGATGGTGGCGTCCCAAGTGCAGCCACTAAGTGCGCTGTTTTTATCAACAATCGACCTTCTGGAAACAATGGTAGGCGAGTTCTGCTTGCAGATAATCCCTACGCTATGCGATCAACTTCCTAGTGCCTCTAGCGCATGTGTAGCTGGCCGGCATCAGCTCGAGACACAGTTGGATCATTTTGGCTATCGACTACGACGACAGCTCCTACCTGGAATATGTGATGGCCCAGAGACCACTAGGACCCACGTTGAAGCAGTTCTCTTCTTGGCGACAGATTTACTTGTGATGACTGAGAGGATGAAGGTCGTGTGGAACATGTCTGGACATAAGAAGCGTGAGCGATTGCTACAAACGCAAGCGCTTGAGGCTGCAGCTATCCAGAACAGGAAATTGGCTACCAAGATTGCGGACCTTGAGGAGCGCAACCAGGAACATCGTTCTGAACTGGAAAGTGCTAAACGCCATCTCTCCATTGAGAAGGATACTCGAAGAAAGGCTGAAGCGAAGTTAGTCCAGGTGCAAGTGCAGGTAAACGATTTGAAACTTCAGCTCGCTTGTGCTGAGAGTCGATTTAAAGACCAGGAGGAAGCTGGCGAAGAGAACTCGCAACTAGCCAACAGAACCCTTATGGACACTCAAGCAAAGAATGAAGATCTATCTGCATCGCTTTCTCGAGCGAAAGACGATTTGCTGTGTGCTGTGGAGAAATATCGCCATGTTGATATCGAGCGCGCTCTACAGTCAGAGGCCGTTATATCGCTGAAACAGAGCTTGGACAAAGCACAGATACAGCGAGAATTGGCTCAGATGCTTGCTGAGGACGCAGCAATTGAGTATGCAGCTCTCAGGGATCACGTCACTATTCAAGTCGACAAGATTGATGTTCTAGAAAGACACGCTTGTCAGGACAAGCAACGCCTGTTAATGCTGGAAGAAAAGCTCGCAGCATCACTACAAGAGCGAGACGAGCACATTCTCCTGATGTCTCAAACGGAAGAAGCACTAGCGAGTGCCCTCAGTCGTGAGAATGCTCTTCAACGCCAGCTTGCCGGCTCCTCTGCTCGTGAGTCAGAAGAGACGAATAGAGTGCGAGTTGAACTGCACGAGGCCACGCTAGAACTCGCTTCACTGCGCGAAGAGCTTGCCGAACTACTCGACCACTCGACGCTGCAGAGTTCGACTATCGAAACATTGACTTTGGAGCAGACAGAAACACTGCAACGAGCTCAGGATCTGGAGACAGAGCGTGACGAACTAGCACTTACTTTGGACCGGAGAACGAGAGCGCACCGCATTCTCACTCATCAGTCAGTAGAGACGCTGTCTCGATTCGAGAGTCAGCAGGAAATAGAGCGCGAAGAATGCATGGCCGTACACGAGGCATTGCAGCGACAAGCGAACGCTTTCCAGAAGCTTCAGGCTCGACAACACTCCATCAAGATGGACTATTACAGTACTATTCAAGATCTCAGAGCACAAGTCGAGACCCTGTCAGCTCGATCTCGAGCGTTGCATTGCGAACTAACTGCGAAAGCAGAAAGCCTTGAAGTAATCCGCTTTGTAGGCAACGCTCGTGATGAACAGACAAAGCGCAATGCTCTCAAGCACGAAGAACTCATTTACGGTCTGACCGAGCAACTCCGGGAAAGCAGAACGGATCTCAAGGCGATTATCAGACCATGGATACACGCAGAGACACAGTGTGGAGTGCTGCGGGTTTGTATCGATCAGCTGGATTGCCATCTAACCGAGACAAAAGAAGTGTGCATGATGCAACTTGCTGACGCAGAGTCATCTCAGCTTCGAGACGATCATCGACATGATTTGGTAGCTGTAAACGATCACTTGAACAGTCTTGACGCGTGGTTCGATGAAGTGATATCCGGTAACCAAGAGATTTCAGAAACTTTATCCCCACACGAGGCCACAGTACCGCAAATTGATACTGAAGACGGAGAACGGTTGTCGATGCTGAAGACGTTGACGGATCTGACGAACGAATTGTTAGTTGTGTGTGAGAGTTCCTCTAATCCCAACAATTTACCAGTAGAAGCGTCTGAACGACATGGCACGAACAGGGAGACAGCTGGCGCGAAGCAGGATATAAAGGATTCTCAAGCAGCACATTCCGTTTTAAGGCAAAACGGCGAAGACCAAAAGATGGCAGGGCAGAAAGAAAAGAGCGAGGTTATTCAGCTAAGGTGCGTTGTGCACGTATGATACCTCTCATTCTTGAAAAAACTGACGGCGGATCGTGGATGTCTTACAGAAAGACAGTGATGAAGTTGAAAGAAGCTCTCGATGCAAGAGACGAAATGTTACTGTTTCTCGATGGGAAAGTTAGACATCTTGAACATGTTACAAATTTTTAGAGACAATTAACTTAGAAATTCACATTGGCAGGGGTTAAAGATAACTACTATTAGGCTATCTCCACTCGAGTTGCTATCGGAGTTGCTATTGCTAAAATAGCGACGGAATCAGAAAGAATATATTCTGCTATCTCCACTCGGAGTTGCTATTGCTATTTGAAAATAGAAATTCTGATTCGAGTTGCTATTCGGACCCCCAATAGCAACTCTGGTGCACGAATAGAAACTCACTCAACCGAAAGATCGCAGGCGCCATGGGGAGAGGTCGGAAGTGGTGTGCTCAGGAGGACGAAGCTCTGGCTCGCGCGTACAAGATTTCTGCGGAGAACCCAATACAAGGAACGGACCAAAAAGCTGCTGCATTCTGGGAGGATGTGTGCCGGCACACGGCAGCAGTATTCGACGGTGAAGCTCGATCTCTACAAGCCGTCAAAAACCGTTGGAGCATCATATCACACGATGTAGCAAAGTTTTCGGGGTGTGTATCTCGTGTAAAAGGTCGCAACGAGTCTGGTAAAAGCGAAGACGACTTGACCAATGACGCCGGCACGTTGTATCAGGAAACCCATGGTAGTAGGTTCGAGTTTTTGTCGTGCTGGATGATACTGAAAAGCTGTTCCAAGTTCACGGCATTTGGACTACCTGCTCATCAAAAACGTGGCCAAAAGTCATCGAGTGAAGAGCAGGAAGAGTCCAGCCTCCGCCCAGAAGGAAGAGATAAAGCAAAAAAGGCACGACTACAACACACAGCACCAGTCTCAACTTCAACGCTGCTCCAACAACTACTCGATCACAACAGGGAGAAAAACGAGAAGATACTGGAAGAAATAAAACGCAAAAACGATTTGCGTGATGAAGAACTTTGAGCCTTGACGAAGTGAAGGAGCCGTCGCTTGTTCTGTTGGCTCCGCGCAGACCACAGCGAAAACAGCAGCTAAAAGATCATCGTCATCAGCGAGGAGAAACTCTTCGTCACTGCCCTCCATTGCCGATAGAATAGCCTCCAGAGGACTGGAGTTGGTGAAAAATCCTTATTTCTATTATCGCAGCGAATAGCAACAGCCAATCAGATTCGACAGATTGCAATACGGATAGCAACTACGAGTGGAGATAGCCTTAGAGTTACTACAGTAGTATTTTTTAATTAGGAGCCGCACCAATAGTCTATA